ATCCCTCCCACCCCCCACCACTCCAGCAACCCTCAGTCTGTTTTCTGAGATTAAGAATTCTTCATATCCATGAGATCATATGATACCTGTCTTTCTCTGATTGACTTATTTCACTTAGCATAATACCCTCTAGTTCCATCCACGTCCTTGCAAATGGCAAGATTTTGGGTTTTTTGATGGCTGCATAATATTCCATTACACACACACACACACACACACACAAACACACACACACCACATCTTCTTTATCCATTCATCTGTTGATGGACATCTTGGCTCTTTCCATAGTTTGGCTATTGTGGACATTGCTGCTATAAACATTGGGGTGCACGTACCCCTTCGGATCACTACATTTGTATCTTTGGGGTAAATACCCAGTAGTGCAATTGCTGGGTCACATGGTAGCTCTATTTTCAACTTTTTGAGGAATCTCCATACTGTTTTCCAGAGTGGCTGCACCAGCTTGCATTCCCACCAACAGTGTGGGGAGGGTTCCCTGTAAAAGGTATTTCATGTATGATCACTGTCCCCCAAAAAAGAAATATGGGAAAATAATGGCAGAGGATAAGAACCATCCAGATACAAATTTTATGTGCTTAGTTGCATATATAGTTAAAATTATGAGTGGAGAATATCATTAAAATGGAATCATTTCTTACAGACATTTTTTTTAAAGGATTAAGTCGTATGTGTACATATATACAAGTGCTGGATTTTCTTAATCTGCAGTGGACTCTTAAATATCAACTGTAGGTCTTCATGGCTATTACAGTAGCTACATACTTAGATAATAACACCATTGTATTTCATTGTATGTTGATAAAGTCATTGATAGTTGACATTGCCATTGAGGGTAGTATCCAGTTTTCCCTATTTATCCATAGCTTTTTTGTTTTCTTTGATAATTCCCCCCATCCCCCAAGCACTTAAGCACATGGCTCATTTTATATGCTTCTACACTTCAGTTTGAAAACACTTTTTTTATGTGGGAATTCTAATTACTATTCTTTAAGTTTTTAATTTTAATTCCAGTATAGTTAACTATTATAGTATTTATATTAGTTTCAGGTATACAATATAGTGATTCACCTTCTTTGATAATTTTGAAATGCATTCTTGGGAAGTGCGTAAATGTTGATTATTTCTAACTTGAGTGCTTTCCCTTTTCCTCCCCATCTCAACCAAAATCTTGAACATGTAGGTGGTTCCTCGTTGTCCTAGGTGCCCAGCTGATGAGCCACTTGCTATCATGAAACCAGAGATTGTCTTTTTTGGTGAAAATTTACCAGAGCAGTTTCATAGAGCCATGAAATATGACAAAGATGAAGTTGATCTCCTCATTGTTATTGGGTCTTCCCTGAAAGTAAGACCAGTAGCACTAATTCCAAGTAAGTTGGTGATGATTTTTAGAGAGTATTTCTATATAGATTGCCATAGGTTGTGGGTCTGTACAGTGGACCCCGGTGATCTTATTCTCTTTATGGTTAAAGAGTGGTGAAGAGCCAAACTTTATTTCTTAGGTGACGTTCACATTCGTGAAGATTGGTTAATCTAACATTTTGGTGCGGGGGTGTGGGAAAGGGAAAAATTAAGACAAAGGGAAACAGCTTTTTAGTGGAGTATGTTTTTATTATGACAGGAGTTAGCTTCAGCTAATTTATATAACGCTTAGGAAACAGTCCTTAATCTGTGTGTTTCTAGTCTTAATTTGATTATAGTTGTTGATCGTTCAAATTTAGTTGATTTTACATCCAATAAGTTCAGATGTATAGCTAGATACAAGTGTAATCCAGAAGTGTAATATACTCATGTAGGAGAATTTGGGGGCTCAATACGATTGGTCTGTTTTTATAAGAATAACAGTCATGCCTTGGGGCACCTGAGTGGCTCAGTCAGTTGGGTGTCTGAGCTCAGGTCATAATCTCAGGGTTGTGAGGTCCTGTGTTGGGCGTAGCACCTGCTTGGGATTCTCTCTTTGAAAAAAAAAAAGGTAACAGTCATGCCTTGTCATAATCATTGTATGTGGTGTTTGTGTGTATGAAAATGCTCAAATATAATTTAAGTCCCTTTTGCTCTCAGGAATATTTAACATGTGCTCTCATATTATCTGTTTTCTCCCTCTAGTGAGGAAGCAAGGCAGGAAGATAGAGGGAATAATTCAGTAGCATCAGGTGTGCCCTAAAAGGTGAGGGAGAAAGGTGTTTTTTTTTTTAAGATTTAAAAAAAATTTATTTGAGAGTGAGTAAGTACAAGCTAGGGGGAGAGGCAGAGGGAGAAGCCGACTCCCTGCTCAGGAGCCTGACACGGGGCTCAGTCCCAGGACCCTGGAATCATGACCTGAGCCAAAGGCAGATGCTTAACTGACTGAGCCACCCAGGTGTCCCCAAACTTTTTTTTAAGGATTTTATTTATTTATTTTAGAGCACATGCGTGCAGGGGGAGGAGCAGAGGGGGGGCGGAGAGAGAAGGACGAGGAAAAGAATCCCAAGTGGACTCCGTGCTGAATGCAGAGCCGGACGTGGGCTGATCTCAGGACCCTGAGATCATGACCTGAGCTGAAACCAAGAGGGATGTTTAACTGACCGAGCAACCCGGCCGCCCCAAGAAAATCAAACTCTTAATCAGAGGATTAAATTAGAACTCTACATCAGCAATCATATAGGCAAGCCAGAGCAAACAATTGGAAGCAACAGGAGTTCAGCTCTACGATTGTGCATCTTTTTCCTACCTACATGTGGTGGCTTTATGAGTTTTAGTCTTCCCAAAATAGCTGTGAAATTCTTTGACAGTAGAATATAGGATAAAATTTAATGAATAAGTTCCTTTATTTTTGAGTTTTTTCTCTTTAAAGGTAAGCAGAGAAATTCTTAAAAGCTTTCTGTGGGGCTCTGTATAATACTGTGTTGCTGAAACGCAAAGATAATTTTTTTTTTTTTTTAA